AGGGCTTGGAAAAATGAATGAATTTTTTCCATTTAGAGCATATAACACTGATATTTACAGGTTTTCTTGTTGAAACAGGCCCAGGGCATCTCAGGCGGTACATAAGTATTGCCATAGCACTTGTTTTGATGTTCAGGTGCCTCAAAAACGTGTTCAATGTCATGATTTTGTGGGTCCTCCAAAGGTTTTGTTGTTAACATGCAAGCAAACAATATTAAACAACATTCTCTAAATTATGGCTGCCAAGTACTGAAACTTAGTAATAAAATCAAATTACAAAAAAATTTCATGTAGAGCTGTACAAGATTCGTAAAATTAAAAATTTATAAAAACCAATATTAACTAAATATAAGGCAATATCAAAGGAGTGTGGAATATTTTTTAAAAGTATATTTTATTGATTTTTTACAGAGAGGAAGGGAGAGGGATAGAGAGTTAGAAACATCGATGAGAGAGAAACATCGATCAGCTGCCTCCTGACCACCCCCTACTGGGGATGTGCCCGCAACCAAGGTACATGCCCTTGATCAGAATTGAACCTGGGACCCTTCAGTCCACAGTCTGACGCTCTATCCACTAAGCCAAACCGATCAGGGCAGGAGTATGGAATATTTTAAAGGCAGTGTAAACCTTGTGAAGACAATGTAATATCAAACAAATGAAAAGCATTATAAAGACACTTCGTATTCATTCCCATGCTGTTCTTTAGGCCAGTTTCTACCTTTCAGAAAGGAAAAAAAAATACATTCTGGGAAGTGGCATGGTGCTTTCATTAGAGGTACATGTTTCCACGTGGCTTCCGTTTCTCCGAAGGATGAAGCGCTTGGAAAGCAGTGTGGTTCTGTGCAATCGTAGGTGGAAGGCTGGGGACATTCCTGTGTGCCAGGTTATAGAAGGCACTTTCACGTTCATCCTTGAACAAAGTGGTCGAAACCTGACTTAAAATTGTACGTTCTGGGTTATCCTTATAAAGGCCTTAAAAGATTAATTACCCTGTGGAAGAAGTTTAGGCATTTTAGACTATCTGAGGAATGCTATGCAAAACTCCTACAGATAAAATGGATTTTGTAAGTATTATATACATTCAAAAGTTTTCCTTAAACTGTAAAATTCTTGGTGTTACTAGAGTTTCACTTTGGGAATACTGTTTTGTTTCTCTTTTGGGTGTGTGATTGTAATAGCTGTGCAGTAACTCCTCACTTAGCATCACTGATAGGTTCTCGGACTTTAAGCGAAATACTGTATAACAAAACCGATTTTTACCATAGGCTAATTGATAAAAATGAGAGTTAAGTTCTGATGGCATATTTCTGGTCACCAAACTTCTAAAACTAAAAACAAAATCAACCTTCTAAAGACCCCAAACACTTCTAATGTTAAACATTTCAAATAAATGTGACCTGTGCATTTAAGAAAGATTAATAAACACAGGTAAGATAATGATTTTCCAACCAGTTCAGGGTTGTGGGTGGCCAGAGCCCATCCTGGCAGCGCAGGGTGCAGATTGGGACCCAGCCCTGGATGGGATGCCCTTTCATGCAGGGGCACTCACTTTCCCCACCCCCAGTGACTCAACACTGGTCCCAGTGAACCTCACATGCGCTTCTCAGGGATGTGGGAGGAAACCAGAGTCCCCAGAGAAAACCCACATAGACATGGGGAGAAGGTACAAACTCCACACAGACAGTGGTTCCAACCCAGAATTTATTTTTTTTCCTCGTTATTATAACAAAAAGACTGTGAAGAAAGTGCCATTATTCGAGGGCCAACTGTACTACAAATGAATTAGTGAAGCTGAGGGTGACACGCCAATGGTATCAGCAGGTGTTTCTCATGTTCTCTATAATTATACATGTGGATCATGGACAATTTTAAGCAACGGTGTTTAAAGATCCTGCTTAATTGGCTGTAAAATAATTAAATAAGCTTTTGACTGGCAAATTTATAATTCTGTTAGATGCATAAGCCAGCGTGCCTGCATGTCAATGTGACTTCAGTTTGAAAATATTAGATTAATAGAACTAATTGTACTGCAAGTACAAAGTTTACTCTGATTAATCGTCTCGGAACTCTTCTAGAAGTTTAGGCAAGTAAATTTATGTTACTTACCTTTATGCTTAAACTTTTAATTAAAACTTATTTCAAAAGTTTGAGCTTTTCGGGCTCTCTATGCTTCTCTCTCCAGTTTTTCCAAAGTTGAGCTCCTGCAATTTTTCAGTGACTCCAGCTGCCTTATTGAATATCTTGACTTATCAAAAGGATGAAAATTATATACTGTTGTACATGTATTTGTATCTGTAGCTGACAGGTACCCTGCACATCATCTCTAACACTTATTGATGTCTACTTATAACCTACTTTATGCTGTGTGAATGGCTATGGTATACCAAATGTACATGATAAATGTTTTATCTCTGATTCTCATTGATCAGCTTCTAAATGATCGAATGGTTTATCTCAGTAAGACACTAATTCACATTGATCAGATTCTAAATGACCAAGTTGACTTGGTTTCTGCTGAACACAAATTGTATTAAAACAACATTACTTGAACATGCTGCCTTTTCTAATGCAGGAGTTATGTTACCAGCAGTTACATTATAACTGGAGTTATTGCATTATAAAGATGTCTCCTTCATAATGAAAAGTTTACACAAGGAGAAAAGAATGTGATATTACAGGAGGAACAGGGCTTCGGGCAAGGATTGGGGCTTTTACTAATTAAATTCTACATTTGTACTGGGCCTTTCTTCCTCCTTTTTTAATTTGAAAGACTGTGAGCAGGAACTATAGCAGCTGCAGTGCAGGCATTGTATTCCCTGTGGTCCTTGGAGCCAGGTAGCATCGTGCTTAATTTAGTAAGAGACTTAGTTATTGAAGAGGCAGAATTCTGGGTAAAGTCAACAGACCTATACCCGCCGTGCTTACGCTTGGTTACAATAGCCTATTGAGAAGTTCCGGGCTATTTGTTGTTGTGGTTTTGTTTTTTGAACATCAGCTCACTGATGTCAACTGCTATAGTTTCAGGTACCCTCTAGAGTTGGTCCTGTGTGTTGCTGGAGGAAGGTTGCAATTCTGAAAAGGAAAAGCAGTGTTTAGGAGCTAACACTATACTTTGTATAGGAAGCTAATGGCAACGCCACATTCAGCTGAAACATGGCCTGGGTTCTTTAGAACACTCCCATTCCGGGCAGGTTATTTATTACATCGTTGACTTGTCCCTTTCATCTGTAACATGTAAATTGTAACTGCCACTCTCTTCAGGGCATTCAAGCTGAGAAGGTTTAAAAGTTATAAAACAAACACAAAAAATCAGTTGTCATTGATCCTCGTGTAAAAAAAAAATGATGTGAAGTAGTAGTTTCATTCAATTCTAAGACACTGGCTGCCATTTCAAGAATGTTCTAGATGGCATGGCAACCCCTTCTCTACCTCATTTGTCAAGTAAATCAGGGCATATGTAGAGAGTAGGCTGCCACCTTCCTGGTGCCCACATCCCAACTGCCTCACCAGTACTTGACAATATTGCTTATGATAGGCACGTATAACTGGTTAGTGCTGTGAAGAAAAGAAACTTTAGGCAATTAGTGTGGTTCTTTTTTTCCTCTTTAAGATTGGAGCCCTTCTAATCAGATCTAACTAGTTATTTTGTTTCATTTTCAATCCTTGGGTCGAATCAATAATAATAGTCTACATATTATTCTTTCTCTAAGGTAGCAGAAGTAAATGCCAAGAAACATGAGCAGCTCTTGGGAGTCAGGTTTCCATCTGCATCATTTCTCTACTTCCTACCTGTTCCTCACAGCATTCCTCTCTATCCAGAGGTGTCTGCAGGAAGGGACGGGGCAGGTTGTCAGCTTTGATTGGAATACAGGGCTCACAAGAGCAGGATCAGGGTTGTAAGCCATAGACAGTATTGTCTGTTTCACAAAGAGAACACACACTACACCCATCGCGTGAACATCTGTGGTTGATCACAAGGTAAGGGGATCCCCGTGGAAATGTCCTCATTCCTTCAGCAGTGAAGGAAGGAACCTCAAGCCGCCAGGGATAGTCAGAGTGGTCACATCCTGTCATAAATGCATGACCCAGAATTCTATTCTCTGTCCCAGCCAGGGCAGCAAGGCTTTGGGTTGCCCTGGGCATCTTCTTTACCTATATAATCTATTTGTTAGTTACATGTAAAGTATCAAAACCAGTCTTGTTGCAGCCCTTAGGTTTGTGGCCATAAGCACCTGAATTCATGATTTGTTCCCTGTGAGATAACAAATCATTCTGTTTTCCCCTGCAGGAACATTAGCATTGAACTTTCTTCCTTAATCAATACAATCCATTAAGAATCTAGCATACCCTACATGGTTATATGAAATATTAATTACACCCTGCTAGTTAGATAAATGAAGACTCTGCCAGAATGATAGCTTGTTTCTTTTCTTGTATTATAATATCTTAAAGGAGAACATTTTGAGTTCTAGGGTGCATGGAATTTTGGAATTCGTTTATCAAATCTTGCTTATTTGAGTAATTAACTAACTCCATAACTCCTGGTTCCTAAAAGATATTTCTAACTGGGACGGCTGAGTTTTTTTCCTCTTGCTGATTCTGGATAGAGTTCATTTACTTTCTAAAGGATCCAGTTGGAAATAATTTCTTTGATTTTCCTTTGATGTTTTCAAAGATGAGAAAAAATTATTTGGCTTTTTAAATGCCACTCGGCTACAGGTAGAAAGCAGTGGAGCTTGTAGGAAGGCCAATGAGACTTAATTATTGTCTGACTGATCCGCCTCATTCTTAGATGTCCAGGAAGACTTCTAGGAGGTAGTCTTTTAATTCTCTCTTTGTACCAAATTTACAGAGTGAACCATCTTACGTCTTGAGCGTGGTTAAAAATTGGGTCAAGTTATCTACGCATAGGAATGGTAGCTCTTAGGATAGTCTCTGGGAAGTTGTATGGGTTCAGCTGTACTGTGATATCTTTTTTATGTTTTATCACTCCACAGTTGGATAAGCCTATTCCTAATGTGTTGCCTCTCCCTGCTTCCAACCAGGTAATTAACTTATAGATAAATGTATGTGGTTGTCCACTCATGCAACTAGGGGGTAAAACCAAGTACTAAAATTGAAACCAAACTTTCAGAAAAGTTGTATTTAAAACCTATTTCTGCTGCTCATTTGAGTGTATTATTACCAAATCTCTCTCATGGATTCAGTCTATCAAGGATTCCTAGGTCTGGCTCTTGATTTTTCTTAAGTGTAAGCAAACAAAATACAAGAATTGATAACTTGAGCCTTATCATCATTAAAACATTCTGCTCATCTTAAGACACTCTTAAGAAAAGTTTAAAAATGGGCAAAAGACTTGAACAGACCCTGTTAATATTATTAGTTATCAGGGAAATGTGAATGAAAACCATTGGAATGGTGGAAATCCAAAACAACTGACAGTAATGATTGTCCAAAAGGATGTGGAGAAACCAGCATTCTCGTGTTTTTCTGGTGTGGGTATAAATGCCTTGGAAAAACATGGTCAGTTTCATATAAATGTGAACACATTTGCTCTATGACCCGGCAGTTCCAGTCCTTGGTATTTGCCCAAGAGAGGAGAAAATACACATCCACTAAAAGATTTGCACACAGGAGCAGCAGGCTCTCTCCGTTGCTGGCCTTGAGGAAGCGAAGTGCCAGGAGATCAACACCTTCAAGGAAATGAGTTCTGCCCTGTGAGCCTGGGAGGAGACCCTGGGCAGAGGCCCAGCTGCCTTGTGGAAGCTCTGAGATAATAAATGGGTGTGTTCTTAAGGTGCTTAAAAAAAAAAAAGATTTGTACACATATGTTCATATCAGTTTTATTCATAGCAGTCAAACACTAGACACAACCCAGGTGGCCATCAATAAGAGAATGGACAAATGTGGGACATTCAGACAGTAGAATCCTGTTTAGCAATTTAAAAACACACACGCACCAAAAATTATTGATGCTTATAACAACATGGGTGCATTCAGAGACAGGTATGCAAAGAGGAGCCAGACAGAAAACAAGCCTATTGTTTGATCCCATTTATATGAAGTTCAAAATAGGGACAATTAGTTTATCCTAATAGAAAGCAGAAAGTGGTTGATGGGGACAGAGGGGTCTTGACTGGAAAGGGGCACAAGCAAGCTTTCTGCGGTGTTGGGACTATTTGTTTTCTGGGTGACAGTTACATAGGTATATATCATTTTTACTACAATACAAACACTTAAGTTTGTGTGTTTTTTAAATATTAATTATACTTAAAACACCCTGAATTTATTGTTAATTTTAACTAGGAGAAAATGCCCCAAATATTGGGAATACCCAACTCCTAACTGTCCTAGGTAAAATAAGTTTCTTCAGTTTAATCACAGTCTTAAGAAAATTATGACTTCTAATCCTATCCACGATCAGATTTTTCATTAGAATTTGAATCCCTTATCTTAATGTCAGGGCTATTCATTCAAGTGTGTTTCATTGCTATAGAAATAGGATTAATCCTTGCTTTATTTCTTTTTTCAAGAATTAGTCTTTTTTCCTGCCTTATTAAATTAGGTTTGCCTGTTATATTCTCTTCTCATTAGCCTAAAGTCTTGTAGATAGGCCTGGTTACATTGTGAAAGTTATTTTTGATAAACGGATTTTAAAGGCAGTATTTGTAAATGAAACATGTGCACAGTAACTCTGGGACTTTTTAATGTAATCTTAGGCAGCCGTTTGTACATGCTATGTATTGAATCCCGGCCAAATGCTTGAAAACGTGTAAAAGCTCGCATCTTGGCCCTTCCCTACATGTTGAAAGGAAAGCACACATGTTCCCATGTTCCAGTGCCGCCAAGCACACCCAGCTTGCTCACATGGCTGCCGGTGCTGTTTCCCGTGCCTCCTCGTTCGGTGGCCAGCAATTAGATTGTGTGTTCCTTTTGTGAGTGCGTGTGTCTAAATGCTGCGCATCTGCTGCATCCCTTGAAAATGGATAGATGCGCTCTTTAAGGGGAATCCTTGCTCCTGGCTCCTTTCAAAGTCACCCGCCACCCTCTCTGGATGAAGCTGGCGAGAAACACTGCAGTGACACATCTGGCTTTGTGCTCCCTTCTCAGTGTGTTAAATGTGCTTTGGAGGCGTCTTATAAGTACAAAGAAGTCAGTTATTTGCCAATTACTGTCTTAACACAAGAAAGACTGAGGGCTGCTGTTGGGCGCTGGGAGTGTGCGTGCGTGCGTGTGTGTGTGTGTGTGTGTGCGCGCGCGCGCGTGTGCTGCCCTTTGCTCTTTGTCTTGTTCTCTGTGCTTCTGAGATTACACAAATACTTATTTATTTGGGAGGCAGATCCCTCTATGGAAACTCTGAAGTCCAGCAGTCGCACAGGCATATATCTCAACAAAGTTGCCCATGTGAGGGGCGCGTTCAGTGTGGTTTGATTGGGATTTTGAGGGTAGCATACACCTGTTTCTGCTTTCAGGATGAAAAATGAGTTGCCAATTACTGTCGACATGTTCAGACATGACACTTCATATGGTAGAAGCTTGCTCAGCCTGCTTTATGCTGGGCCCCCAACTATGAAACCATCGGTTCTGAAAAGGGGGTGTGTTGGCAAGGAGGAGAGGGAAGAAGGGGATCCATCCTAGCTCCGTGCGGCCGTGGGAAGGAGGCCACTGCCTCTCACCTCTGTTTCCCGGCAGAGCTCTTGAACAAGATGAAGTGATCAAAGCCGGGTGCCAGCGCATCCTCGCAGTCTCATTACTTTGCAAGCTGCACGCCCAGATGCTGCTGTTCCGCATCAGGCCTCACTGACTTACATTCATAACACCTCCATTACAGCTCATTTGGTACCACCCGGAATTAACCAGTTCTTCCCTTTTCCTGGTGGTGTTTCTCCAATACAAAAGATGCGAACGGAAAGCTGAGCTTAACATTGCTGGGTGTAGAAGGCGTCTTACAGGCATCCCGGTTCGTTGACAAGAAGCAGGAATCAAATGTTTTGTCACCACTTAAATCACTTGTGGTTTTCATTTGGTTGTGTGAGTGTTGGTTTGGAAGTATTTTTGAAGTCTTGGAATTTGAAATATTGGGTTTTGCCAGTTTCATTGACTCCCCGGTCCTGGGAGTTCTTTGCAATTAGTGGGCACGTCCTCATTTGTTTGTTTCTTCCACCAGTGAAGAGCTCATTGACATTTATTTCAGAAGGTGTTAATGCAACGACTTTGCTTTGGAGAACTTAACCATCGTCAGTATCAACACAACTATCCATCAAAGGTCTCTGACGCTTCATGCTCTATGAGCACTGGGAACAGAAATCTGAGTATGAGTCCCAATCCTCAGTGGCCTTATATTGTGGAGATCATTAGCTCTACTGTGGAGGGTCAGAACCTCATACAAGAATTATAACTTTAATATTTGTTCAAGAAAAATGATTGAATATCTCACATATGTTCAGGTGGTTTCCATAAACTGAAATACAGAGAGGTGAAGAAAGCATGATGCATATACATGGGAGACAGATTAATACACACGTGACTAAAATGTGGTAAATGCTAATATAAGGGTGAAAATAAGATGCTGCAGGAATAGGGAGGGGAATCTGGATTGCAGGAAGAGGTGACTGGTGCAGGCTGTCTTCTCACCTAGAGGTTTTGTTAAGGTGAGAAGAAGGAAGATGGTTTTCATGCTAGCAATGGCTGGAATGGGCGTGGGCAGTGGTGGGATGGACTCTGAGGCCATCAAGAAAGGTTAGGGTCAGACTTTCAATGCCGTGTCTTGGAAGGCAGAGTTAATAGAGTTGTGAAGATTCAACCACAAGTTCTACCTACTTGGGAATATTTTTCCCAATTACCCATTAGATTATCACCATTAGAATTGTCTCTTGAATTGGTCGTTGTTCCTTGATGTCTTCTGTCAAATACACAAGCATAATATTTGGCACATATGTAAATATGTTTGTGTTTATAATATCACAATTTGCTATATCATGTTAATTACTAGTCTTATGTTAACCCTAGTGGCCCGGTGCAAGAAATTTGTGCACATTAAAAGGAAATTAATTAGAGGAAATATTTTAATATTGCTATTTGCCCTTTCTCTATAATAGAAGTGTCAGAGATGAAAGAAAATTAGTAAAATATATATGAAAATCTCCCTTCTGTCAGAGTCTGGGGCGCCCCGTGCCTCAAAATCACGGGAGACCCAGACCCAGCCGGCCCCACCTCCGTCAAGCCCTGCAAGGTCCCCCGGTGCTGGGCAGGGGACACAGCCTCAGCTCCCTCAGCTCGGTGTCGGGCAAGGGGCGCAGCCTCAGGTCCCCTGGTGCCGGGGCGGGGGGTGCAGCCTCAGGTACCCCAGCCCAACACCATGGCAGGGGGCACAACCTCAGGTACCCTGGCACCGGTGCTGGGGCGGGGGGCACAGCCTCAGGTCCCCCAGCCCCAGCACTCGGGCAGGGGATGCGGCCTCAGGTCCCCCGGTGCCAGGGAGGGGGTGCGGCCTCAGGTCCCCTGACCCAGCCTCAGGTCCCCCAGCCCTGGCACGAGGGCATGATGACCATTTGCATATTAGCTCTTTATTACATAGGATTATTAATATCCACTTGAAAAATGAGCTCATGTTAGCTGACCATTAATTATCTAGCAGAGGGAATGGGTCATAGAGAAAACAGTAGTTTTGATAAAAGGGTGGGGAGGATCCAGTTCAAGAAAGCTTTGTTTTACGGGATGTTGTCTGGGGGAAATCTTGGGGCATTTTAGCAGAGAAGGAGCCTTAGGCGCTAGAGGAGCACGAAAAGCTGGCATGCTGGTTGGTCATTTTAGCCCCCTCCCTGCGGTCGATGTCATGGGATCCTCTTTTAATTGAAATGGTATAATATGAACTTTAAAAAATATTCCTAGCCATGAGCTCTTTAAATGGCACCCTAAGAATTCACATGGTACAACATTCTACATGTGTGGGAAAGAGGGTGTTAGAGGCAAATTGTATGTGGTTTATAAAGATAGCATTCATCTGGATGTATGATTTTTGGTTTATGTCTGTAACTGTGATTGT